ATTCCTGCTTTCCCAGGGCACACATGGCCATCCCACAATTTTTATCTTGCACTTACGTGGGCTCAGCAGCCTCTAAGCCCTGAGGGTGGGACAGAGCAGCAGACAGGAATCTGCTTAGGGAGCAGACAGACATTTGCTGTCTCTCCATGAGGAGGTCCTGGAGCCTGGTGGAGACCCCAGACAGCTCCACACAGCACAGTGGGTTCCCCAGGAAAGCCACTGTGGGTTATGGATGGAGATTCAGAGCAGGGTCAGCCTCTCACACCTTGTGGCTGTCACAGAAGGTTCTGTGACATTCCTGAAGCAGTGGCTTCCCTGGGACCCATGAGTCACCCTGGGGCAGCATCCCAGGGTGACTGCAGCATAGATCTCATCATGGAATCCCAGGGTGGTTTGGGTTGGAAGGGACCTTAAAGCTCATCTCATTCTACCCCCTGCCATGGGCAGGGACACCTTCCAGGTTGCTCCAAGCCCCATCCAACCTGGCCTTGAACACTTCCAGGGATGGGGCAGCCACAGATTCTCTGGGCAACCTGTGATGTTGCCATCCAGCAGATCTGCTGGAGAAACCAGAACACTCCCTCACCCTTACCCTCCAAAAAGGGCTTATTTCCTCCACAAGGAACTGTTCCCACTGGAATTAGGCAGTAACGACCCCTGCACAGGAAGGGATCCGTGGGCCTTGCCCTGGGATCACCAGGTTTCCCTGCAGCTTCACTGGCCGCGGTTGGGATGTCAGGAGTGAACCCACCCAGTCCTCACCTCGATCTTCTCTGCTTTTCCTGAAGCAGATGAAGACATAGTTGACTTTCATCTTTTCTTCAGCAAACTCCAGCAGTGCTGACAACCTGCCAAAGAGGGAGAAGACAAAAGGACATCAGCTCTAGGAAGTCCTGTCCTGAGGAAGCCTCTGAGCGTTATCGAATTATCAACTGTTTGGATGTTTTCGGGCACAAAGATTGTTTACAGCCCCTTCAGTGAACAATGGGTGCTGGAACAATGGGTTTCCTGCCCCGCGGGTCCCAGAGCTGTCCTCGCTCCCATTCACCCAGCAAGTCACTGTCCTCACAGCCACCTCCACCCTCGGTGGCTTCGGGCTGAAGGCAGGAAGCAGAATCTCACAGCTGGGCCCGAGCCAGGCTGTGTCCCCTGTGCTGGGAACACACTCAGGGGGATCTGGGAGCTGTGTGCTTTGTGGGAAGGAAAAAAACCAACCCGCAGAAAGGAGCTGACAGCAGGCAGGGAAGGAGAACAAACCATCCCCAGAGGAGCCTGTGTGCAGGCAAAGCTGTTTGCTGCGCGGCGCAACTGCTGCACCCTGAATCCTGACTTCCTGCCCTTCCAGCTGGATTTCTTCTGCCATCTCTTCTTGATGGAAGTGGCGCTGCACTCACCCCTCTGTGAGCCCCCGGGATGGCACAGGGAGCTGCTGTGGCAGTGAGGAACAGGCCTCACTCCACAGCTCATTACGCAGCCGTCGGTGCAGGGGATTAAATTTGCAAAGGTTCTGGTAATGAACTGCTTTAATTATGGCCTCTCTCGGCTGTTCCTCCCGGCTAAAAATAACCTGACAGAACTGAGCTTTAAGTCATGGTGACACAGGCAAATAAATCCCCTCCCAGAGGGACCTCTCCCCGGAGAGCCAAAGGATTTACAGACTAAGCGGAGGAATTGCAGACATTTATCTGAGCTCGGAGTTAAATGAGACAAGTGTGAGACACCAACAGCACTGGCACTTCCTGAAGGTGCTCAACGAGGGGTTTTTCCTTAATCAGTTTGTGTCGTTGAGGGATGGAGCTCACTTGGAGATGTAGGAGGAGCTGAGAGGTCTGTAGAGGAATCCAGCAAAGCCACATCTCCTCTGCAGACCTCTGGCATAGCACTTGGCAGGAAGGAGCTGCTCTGGAAGCTGCATTCACACACACTTCCCAGAGCAGAGCTGTCTGGACAAAACATGACTGGATTCTGCCAAGAGAAAAATCAGAGCTCCTGGCAGAGCTCGGCGCCGGCGCGGCAACACTCCAGGAGCACATCCACCTACTGATGAGCAGAGCATCAGTAGGATGGAGAGGGTTTTTTTCCCTGAATGTGAGGAAAACCTGCCAAAATAGGCTTGTCAAGTGGTCAGCAGAGCAACAAAACGGGGGAAAAAATACCAGGCTTGCTGGTTTTCCATACCAATGGAAGCAAAGAGCCTCTCTGCCCCTTTATTGCTTGTTTTTCATTAGTTTGGGACTCAAAAAAATGGTGACTCATCTGAAATGATCACTGAGGGGAAAACAGACCTGTGGGGGACTAACAGGACAGTGTTCTGCAGGCAAGGGAGCAGCACCTGCTGCAGACACACAAACCAGGAGCAGAGCAGCCACTGCACAGCCCGTTCTCCCTGCACAGACAGCATAGAATCTCTGGGTGGTTTGAGTGGGAAGGACCTTAAAGTTCATCCAGTTCCAACCCCTGTCATGGGCAGGGACACCTGGTTGCTTCAAGCCCCAACCAACCTGGCCTAGAGCACTTCCAGGGATGGGGAGTCACAATCACCCACGTAAACACCCAAGTCCTGCTCCCTGGGGAGCCACAGCCACAGCCCTGGGATCCTGAACGTACCCTTCTTTGCTTCCATCAGCTAATAATCCATCAGGGATTTCCACAAAGAGGCTCTGGTTGGAGAGCACTGCATCCCAGGAGGAGGTCTTCACCTCTGTGACCTTGTACTGGAAGTGGACAATGTGAGGCTTCCCTTCGTGCACTGGGACATCTTGGCTAACAGTGATCTTCTCATCCTGGGCAAAACACAAACACAAAGTCCTGAGCAGCCAGAGGACAACTACAGAGAGCAAATGCACATCAATGGTATTAAGGTTTTCCTGGGAAGAGGATTATGCTGTTCCCTGCCCTTTGCACTGGCACAGGGACACCCCACACAGCCTCGGAGTGATGTCTAGGCATGTTTCCCTGCTCAAGGGAGTGCAGCTCCACATTTCTGGGTAGAAAAGTCCATTCCCTCACCACAGGCCCCAACCACAGCTCCAAAGGGTTCATGAACTGCCCTTCACAGAGCACAACTGGACCCACCACACTGGCAGAGCTCCTGCTGCCACAGCCTGACCAGTTTCAGTGCCTCCCCCACCCCCAACACAGCCCTTCTGTTCAAAGCATGACCACAAATTGCTTTCCCAGGTTTTTACAACCAATGGTTTGTCTCCTGGTATAGGGGAGGAAAACAAGAGTGCAGAGAGATCCCAGAGCAGATGTGAAGCTTGTGAAAAGGTCCTTTCCCGAGACCACAAACGCACACGTCCCTCTCCCGTCCTGCCCCAGTGGGAATGCCAAGCATGCAGATTGCCTCAGACCCAGCTCAGCAGTTCCTAGAAAACAATTCCGTGGTTAAAACCCCATTCCTCCTGACAATTCCTGCAGGCAATTGGCTTGCCCAGTAATGATTTCCACGTTTCACTGTGCAGAGCCCCAGCGAAACAGCACAGATGTTCACATTAGGTTCCCGAGTTAATGCTGTGCTTTGTGTTGGTGATGTTCAGACACTCAGAGCTCCCTGCACAGCTCTGCAGGGCAGAAGTAAAACAGAAATCCAGAGTCAGGGAAAGCCACATGTCCCTCCCTCCTGGCCAGGTGTGGTGGGAAGAGGTTTACCCCACTGGGCCATTAGCTGAGAGCCTGTCCAGTCACCAGGTGTGCTATTTTAACAAGGTGATACATTCAGCAGCTCATTAGGAGCCTTTCCAGCCTTGTCCCAGGGTTTTGATTCCTGTCACTCATCTAATTCCCCCTTGGTCTGACTGCTGTGGGAAAGCAGCAGCCCTGGACGCTGTCGATGCTGGTGGCACCACTGGGAGCTGCACAGCCTTGGTAAGTGGAGCAGAGGAAGCTGCTGTCCTCTTAAAGCCCTAAAAGTTGAGCTGAAAAACAAGTTTACACTTCCCCAGAATAAATATCCTGTAGGAAGTAAGTCTATTTATTGAGTTTGAAAGATGTTTGCGTGGCTGAGCTTACTAGTTTTAAGGCAAGTGCACCAAGAAATGCACAAAAACTGCAGCTGAAGTGAGGTCAGGCTGGTCAGAGCCAGCAGAGGGGCAGGGCTGAGCCCAGAGAGCTGTGCAGTACAGAGGGACTTAAAAAGCCAAATCCAAGGTTATTATGTGCATGTCCTTCAGCACTGCCTTCATAGGAGCCTTTTACTGTTGTTGTTACAGTGCAGGAAGCATCTCTGTTCCAAGAAAAGATCCTTCTCTCCAGAAAAGCTCACAGATGAGGCTTTTCTCAAGCTCACAAACCCAAGCCCGGGGTGAGGACGCCGAGGGAAGCAGGCTGGGACTGACACGTGGGAGGGGGAGCTGTGCATTTCGCGGGGGGAAGAGTGGCAGGAGCACTGCCACAGGAGGGGAAAGCGTTCTGAGCAGACTGGCCGAGCCCTCCTGTCCCCAGGAGTCACACCCCTGTGCTCAAAGCCTGTCCCAGCCCTGTGCCAGCCCCGAGCCAGGGGCAGCACGGCCCAGGGATTAGCAGAACCAGTTCCCCCAGTTCTGTGGGAATTACGTGTGCACAGCCTGGCTCGGGCAGCTGAGACTTTATTTCTAGGCATCCAAAGAGAGATGCTGGGGAAGAGAAGCTATTCCTGTGAAGCAGCAGCAGCCCAAAATTCTCTGGAAGCTGCTCAAAGCAAAATGCTGTTTACACAACAAGCGCTCTGGTTTGGGTCACTGCTGAGAATTCCCCTCCCAAAATCCCCTCACCGAGCTGTGTGGGCAGAACTCCCCCAGGCTCTCCCTTACACCCAACTGCCCCAAACGCTGCTCTGCAGCCCTTGGCTCCCTCTCAGTGCACGAGGTCACCAACCTCCACTGGGTTTCCACTCATTGAGCACAACATTTTCCAGCCCAGCTCTGCTCCTCAGCCGTCCCGGGAAGGACAGGGGGAGGCCCCAGCATGCTGGCAGGGTCAGAAGGAAGGATGTTATCATCCACCCTGGCCAAGTGGCTGGAGAAAGCCATGGCAGCAGCTCCCTGCTGGCATCTACCTCACCTGCAGACTCCTGCCAAGTCTGCCAGCCAGGGCACGTCCCGGTCGCTGTGGCATTCCCAGCTCCAGCAAAGCTCCCTGGATGAAGGCCTGAGCTGTTAGTCTCTTAACACAAGCACAACACCTATAGGGAGCCCCAGCTGCTTAATTTACAGTGCTGCTGTACCCAGGCGCCGCACGCCGGAGGAGGCAGTTGGGAAAGGTCATCCCTTGGATGGGAACAGCTGATACAGCTGGAAAAAGGACTTAAGCTTTTGGATCCAGATGCCTTTCCAGGTCACACTGCTGGCTGCTGGCTGAAAAGCTCAGGCTGCTGTAATTGCAGCAGTGCCAGACTGAGTGGGCAGAGAGAGACCCTGTAACCCCCTCCCTGAGCTTCAACTTCAAACCACCAGGCAGCACAGCCCACTCTGGCCTGGGATGAGCCATGTGGAGGTTCCCTGCCCATGGCAGGGGTTGGAACTAGATGGTTTTTAAGGTTCCTTCCAACCCAAACCATTCTGAGACTCTGTTTCCCCCTGTGCTGGCACTGCTGAAGCACCTCCAGTCCTGGGCTCAGTTCTGGGCCCTGCACAACAAGACACACTGAGGGTTGGAGGTGTCCAGGGAAGGGAACGGAGCTGGAGCACAAGGAACAGCTGAGAGAGCTTTAAGGGGCTCAGCTCAGAGAAAAGGATGCTCAGGGGGGACCTTCTTTCTCTCTCCTAACAGGAGATGCAGCCAGGTGGGATCAGGCTCTGCTCCCCAGAAGGGCCTGGATCTTTCCATCCTGTAATGCCTGTGTGCCACCCACTGGGTCATTAAAAATCAGGTCTGACACCTGTGACAACACCCCTGGCTCAACAGCCAAATTTGCAAGGTGAGCATAAATCTAGGCTGCCTCATCCAAGAGTGTTTTACTCCCTGGCATGTGGAAGAGCAGCCCTTGAACCAGAAACCAGATGAGAGCCAAGGCCACACAAGTGCCAATTATTCTACAGGAAGGAGCAGGCAGAGCTCATTGGAAATGAAAGGTGGAATGAAGGGTGACACAAAATGAGAGCTGCACAGAGCCATGCTGTCCTGCTGTTCCGCACTCACAAACCCTTCCTGATCTCACCCTGCCCTGTGCACGTGCTCCAGAGACATCCCAGCCCGAGGTGGACGTGCCCTGTGACACCTGAGTGACTCTGGCCCTTGGTGCAGGCAGCTCCCAGGCCCTGACAGCTTCACCTTCCTGCCCAGGGCACAGGAAGGAGCTTATCAACCCTTTTCTCCCTGTGTTTCACCTTTCTACTTCCTGTTTCCTCCTCCTGCCAGACATTTCAGATGTGGTTGCGTGTTTTGGTAATGCAGGCTCTGCCTACAATAGTGCAGCAGGCCTGGAGAATGATCTGCTGCACAGTGGTCTCTCATTTTTTAACCAACAAGTGATATTTAGGCAGGACACCACTGCCTGCAGCTCAGTCCTGAAAAATTACTTGCTCTCCCACTTATCACCTGGGAGTTCTTTGCATTTATTCCCATCAGACTGCAAAAGGAACTGAACAAAGTTGCAGCACGGGTTGTTATTTAGATGTTAAAATCTTCTCACCTTATATATGAGAGCTGAAAGAGAAGGATCCCTGCCACCCCCTCGCCCACCGGGGATCTTCGACAGTGGGTGAGGGGCATCAGGAGCACCACAGAGGCCCTGGAACGATGTGCCTGCAGCACTGCAGCTGGGGACAGTTACTCAAAGGTAAAATACTACTGCAAGAGAAAGAGAGAGAACACCAGGTTACATTAGCAGGGATCACGTTTCACAGTCCCCACCTCCCCAAACCCCCAAATCACTCGTATTCCTGCCCCCAGATGGAGACACCTCCCTGCAAACCCCTCCCTGCCAGCGGCACCAGGACCCGGAGTGTTTTGTTAGGAAGGGAGGCGGGGCTGGAGCCAGGAACACGGAGAGAGTGCTGAGCAACCTCATGCTAATCAGGGAGGCCTGGAAGGCTGCCAGGAGCAGATGGCTGGGAACGCATGACCAGATGAGCACACATTTTCTATAGACAAATATCTACAAATAGATCAACAGGACCCAGGAGGAGGAGGTTTAAGTTTCACATTTCCAAGCCGAGGAAGGGGGAAAGGGCTGGTTCAGACACCTTCAACACAGGCCACAACGCTTGCACAGGAAGCAACCACAGCAGAAGGAGCATCCTGCACCCCAGCCCTAAGTGTGACAAGTTTTTCCCACAGATCTACTTTTATGAGCAAGAAAACACATTTCCCTTACAGTTTCCAACTTTGTTTGTATGTCCTACACATAGTCTTCCAGGATCACTCTGGACAGAGGCTTTAATACCTTCTCCAGCTTTTAGGAGGGTCATGGAAAGCAAGTTATTTTACATCTGGAGCTTTGGTTCCTTTCTCAGCACCACAGCAGCTCTGTGCTGAGGCACAGCACGGCGGCAGCGTTCCTCTGAGGCAAAAGCCATGCAGGAAAACCAGTCCTTTCCCAGTGCTCCCATCAGGAAACACACCAGAGCAAAGCTATGGAAGCACCATCAAAATAAAAGGGTGCAGGAGGGGGTTCCTGAGCACGGAGTGAGGATAAACTCTTCAGCTGTACTGACAACTCACTGTCTGCCCCGAAACCTCTCACTTGAGCTGTTCCCAATACTGTGTTTTTCCACTCTAATCCCTCTCCACGAGGCAGACAGGCTTAAGTATCCAAACACCAAGTATGGAGCTGCACTGTCAGAACCACCTGGAATCACAGACTCACACGGTGGTTTGTGCTGGAAAGGACCTTTAAGCTCATCCCATTTCACCCCCTGCCATGGGCAGGGACACCTTCCACTAGCCCAGGGTGCTCCAAGCCCCTCCAACTTGGTCTTGTAACCTGCTTGTGCAGGCTGCAAACAAACTCCTAAAAGTCTGGCACTTCTGAATGCCAAACCCCACAATTCACAGACGCAGTTACGACAGCAGCAGAACTCACGAAAGATCTCGGTTACCACCTCATCCCAAAACCATTCTTCTGCAGGAAACACAAACATTCTTCCTCCTCCAGGCTCCTCCAGACCCTTCCCTGGACACCGACAACCCTCAATGTCTGAGCTCTGGGGCAGCACTGCCTTGTGCCGTGGCCTGGAGCAGAGCTTCCTTGGAGAACTGCTCAGCTCCAGCAGGAGCAGCGCTCCGGGGACAGGGCCGGGTGCTCTGCCGCGGCCAGGGCTATCAATGGGCAGTGTGTATCCAGTAGTAGTGGATGTGGAGAGGATGACAAAGCACTTCGTGCCGTCCCCACCCCCAGAAAGCTGTTGGCAGCTTTGTTATTCCCTTCCCTCCTCCCTCACCCCCCCACCCCCAGCCAACAATGTACTATTGATAGCTCCCTCCAACTTGCGGCCAAGGCACCAAGGAGTTGGATAATGAAGTGGAGTTGTGGGAAAAAAAGCCCAGCAAATAGAGAGACAGTAGTTTTCATGCAAAGCAGCTCCAGACACTTCCCAGTTTCGCTTCCTCTGGCACATGCAGAAGTCAAAACACAAGTCCCTTCGGCCAGGGAGTGCCGTCCCGGCCCAGACCTGCACACCAACACTATCCCCTCAAAAACAGGGTCCCGACAGCAGCAGCCTCAGGGAGGAGAGTGTGTGTGGGGCACGGATTAGAAGGTTTTGCCTCCTTCAGCTGCACTCCAGCACCCTGGGAAGAAATCCACGCCAACACCCGACAATGCCTGAGCCCTTCGCAAACACATCCACTGCAGCTTTGCTCCCCGAGGCCTGTGTGCAGCTTCAGAACGAGGCTTGTGCTCTCTCCTGACCTCTCTTCTCCCAGGAGAAGCTGCTTCCCAGCAGCTTGGATGAGCTTAGGAGGCATTTTAGACGGCCAAAGGCCTTTCCCTGGAGAAACTGCTGAGGAAGAGCTGCCGGGCTGGGAGCTCTGGTCCCGCGAGTGTAATTTTAACTCGCTAAGCTCCCAGCGATCCCAACCCCGTGCCCTGGCCCTGGGAGGCGCAAAGGGCAGCTCAGCGATCTGGGAACACCATCCGCACAGCCCTCACACCCCGCGCCAGCCCCTGACCGGCGCCTCGGGGGCTGAAACGGGCACAGTCTCCCGTGCCCTGAGGTTCTGATTCGCGTGGAACACTCCGAGCAGAAGGAAGGACACGCACAGCTC